ATTTATCAGTGAAATGACTTCCCTCCAGAAATTTTGAGTGCTCAATCACTGAATATTTTCAAGAACAGATTGGACAACCATTTGTCTGGAATGGTATAAAATCAAGCAGGAGATTGGACTAGAAGATTTCCAAAGTCCCTTCCACCTTGTTATCCTATGTAAGAATCTATTAAATGATACAAAATTGTGAGATTTTTTAAAAATACGTAGGAAATAAAATAAATGAATACAATTCATAATCTTGAGAAATTGCCCCGAAAATTACAAAATGAACATTCAACTAATAAATGTAAAGTTCTTCAGAATCCACTGTAGAAATATTGAATGAGAAATAACAATTATGTGGACAAGATTTTGAAATAGTAGTTGATTACAAACTGAATTTATATCAGTAGTTGGATGTGGCCACAAAGTAGACAAATAGTATCTGAGCAACTTTTAGGAAAGATTTAGATACCTTGAACAGATTCAAAGAAGGGAGATAAGGATGGATTAGGAAATATGACACTAAGTTCTATAAAGATGTACAGATGAAATGCAAATATTTAGTTTTTTAAAAAAGTGAATTTCATCCTTAAGTACCAAAAAGAATGTCACACAGGAGATCTATTCAATCCACATATCCCAGAATAATGGATTTACATTATAAGAAACATTTTGAATTGGAATTTTTTTTTTAATAATAAGACAATAGAATCCATTATCTAGATCACAGGTATCAAACTTGCCATGTCACGTTACTGTAACGTGACATATCATTATGGTTTTTTCTCTTCGCAGAGCTGGGGTGATCATGGCCTGTGCATGATGCATCCAGCCTATGGGCTACCAGTTTGACACCCCTGATCTAGATGATAGGCTTCTTTTTATTGGATATCTTTAAACAAAGGATTAATAACTATCTGGATGATTTAATTTAACTTAGTACATGGAAAGTGGTTGTCCCCCATTCCATGATTCTAGGTTTTAGCTTCCTTACCAAAGCAAACAATTCTTTCCCAGATCGACCATACTATTAAAGATAGGTCTTCTAAATATTATTCTTGTGTTTTAAGTTCTATTTTAACTTCACTTTCCAATTCTACATACTGTATGATGCTTATAAATGTTTAAATGGTCTTATTTTCTAGATGAGCATACAGTACCAAAAGCCTAAAATCCCTTTTTTACAAAAAAGATGGTTATCTTACAGTGTAGAAGAAAGCAACCTCACAGGTGCTAATTAAAGTGTTTGCTTTTTATTTATTTTAAAGCGGAATTGCTCTAAGCACTTAAACTGTACTGAAAAATTCCTTACATTCTTCCAAATTTGAAAACACTTATTTAAATATCAAGAGTTTGCCTCCCTATTATTCTGTCCTCTATTTTACCTCTATGAATAGTGATGCCAGTCTCTTTCATAAAAACAATGTCTTTTATGATTCTTCATCTTGTGCTGCTTGACCACCTTACAATCTAGCATCCTCTTTACCTTCTTTATTGCAGCTGCATATGGGGCTGAAAGCTTTAAGGATTTTCACACCATCATCCCCAAATCTTTTTCTCGTAAGTATTCTGTGGGTATGATGGCCAGATATTACTTAACTTTTTCATCTGTGCGTGTAACTTCTGTCACTCATATATTTCATTTGTCTATTTTTTATTGTTGTTCTTGCCTTTGTCCTTTAACTTTTACCTCATACTATTTTTTTCAAGTTTACAAATAATGTTAGTGTTTGTAACACATACATCAGCTTAGAGAAAAGCCTAATTTATCTATATGATAAAGGAAAAATTCTAGTGTATGACTAACTACAGGGGCATATGAAAAATACCACTTATATCAAGAAAGAACTAAATGCTTAGTAATATCTTTTCATAGGGCCCTGTAACCATTAAATAAAAAAGGACTTTGAGTAGTACATACCATATTTACTTTTCTACATACAGAAGTGCATGGCTCATTGGTTAAGGTTCTTTTGTTTGTTTGTTTGATTGATTGATTGGTTGATAAAATAATTCTTATGCCTTGATTTCAGATTTCATAATGATGAGAAATAATGCAGTGGTTGGTTGACTGCAAATCAGATCAGAAAATGGAGGGCTAGGCACATGATACAGTTATTAAGTCAAAACTAGCAGTGGCTAAGTGGGAGAAGTGGTTATGAGATCAGACTATTCTACTCAACACTGAAAAATTACAGGCCTGGGGACACAATTTCAATAGCACCACTTGTGTCTTACACTAGTAATATCCAGATTCAAGTGCAGGCTAAAGTTTGTATTGTTAAAGCATTATATACCAAGATTTGGGGGGGGGGACCCGGGGTGGGTTTCTACTGATTCTGTCCACCTCTGTAGAACTGGTAGCTCTGAAGAGCAGCAGACATAGAACCGGTTCTATGTCTGCTGAAGTTTTTGCCCACCCACCCATCTGGGCTCTTACCTGATCTTTATTTCCTGATTTGTCAACTTCAGCTGCTGAACGAGGCACAGCTGCAGTTAAAAAAAAACAAGAAAAGAGGCTGTTTCAAAGGCTGCTTCTCAAGCAGAGTGCCAATGACAATTAACAGGCACGCGGCTCACAGCGAGCAGGGAAGCTCATAAATCCCGAACTGGTAGTTAACCCTGTCGTATCCCACCCCTGGGGGGGAACTCTTAATCAAATATCATTGTCAGTTAATCAGAAGTGCTGTACAGGTGGCCTGATTTGGCAGAAGGCTAACAGAAGTTAAAATGTGTAATATTCCTCACATCTCTTCTGTTTGATTTGACTCATAAAAAATAATTCACCCACTGTCAAGTATCTGTAATAACAATTGATATCACTTTGATGGTATGTGGGATAGTAGCTGGGATACGGTGTGTCTGCATTTTTGAAATGCATTTTTGAAACCTATATTATTTTAGGACCATTGCAGAGCATGTCTACATACAAGGAAGTTTCACTGTGCTTAGTGAGATTTACTTCCAGACAGAATGAAAATATTTTGTTTTTAAAACTGGAAGAAGATAAAAAACAGACTGAATTTGATCTACACTTAGTCACACTTTGAGTAGACACACTGAAATCAATAGACTTATGAATTAATCATGATTTATTTATCCCATTGATTCAATAAACTAATTCTGGTTCCAATTAAATATATATTTTCAATTATCCAGTTTTGGTATGATAAAATAAATAGCAAAATGGGAAGATGGTGTATTTTAGGATCTACCAAACATGGAGAAGTTGACAAAATTTACATGTAACAGTGTCATTGTATGATCACATGAAAATCAATTTTGCTTCTCAAATATTATCCATGACCACATCAAGTCTGACATGATTGTGATTTTTCACTTAATGATTGTGTCATTTAGCAATGGAATTGCTGGATAGAGTTGCAGTTGGTAGGTGAAGATTACCTGTATTATTAAAGGGATAAAATCCTACCTACATGAAGCATACTTACATATTGGTGGGGATGACATGTTTGTATCCTCTCCAATATAAAAGATTTCTAAAATCTTTGAATGAGTGACCCCTTTGTAGATAAATAAATGCAAATAAGCCTCTTTATACACGAAAAGATAGCATGTCAGAAATACAATTTTTAACTTTATTTCCTCTTGATGTATAGTTTTCTTTCTTCAGTATTGTTCATCTGCCTGCTTTCTGCTCCCAGACTACCCCTATATTGTACTGTCAAAATTCATTTTTAGTGGCACGATTTTAGCAAACTAATAAATATTCTAGGGAAGATAGACGGTTAAGAAATTTGAATTATAAATAAATATAAAATAATAAATAGAGTCCTAGTAAGGCAAAATATTCAAAGTAAAAGAAGAAGAAAAATGAAACTGTTTGGGCTCTATTTCCTGATGAGCTTATGTTTCCCCTTGTGGCCTTAGTAGCCCAAACATTTTTTTTAAAGTGCACCATCCAAGCTAACATCAATTTCCATCTGCTAGGTCAAATATAGAAAAACAGCTTTTTCTTTCTGTTTTCATTCCCTAGATCACTGACTGCTAACTTTTTTCTTTATTTTGAGTTCCAATAAGTCAGGGCACCACTGTAGTATGTGCTACTGCTATGGTGGATAGAATAGTATGATGAATAGAATTTATGGAACATAAAACAATAGAATCTCACAAGATTTCATGTTCCAACCTGAATTCTTGGCAGATTTTTAGCAAGAACAGTTATATCATTCTAGAGTTGTCAATTTCTCAAAATGAGGACCATTATTAAAAATACTTTATATTTTAATACCTACTCCAGTGACTGCCTAGGGCACAGGTAGAACCATGGCTCTGGACAAGTCATACTTTCTTCAGATATGTGCATTTGGGCACACTTCATTAAGTATATTCCATTGCCTCCTTTGTCATACATGGAGTCTCTGCTAGGTTGCTTTAAGGTTTAACAAGGCTTTGGCAATCCAAATCTATGGCAAATGAGCTGAGAAAGGGCTTGATAAGTTAGTCTTGTTTATCCAGTCACATATCAGTCATTCTTTTCTTTTGGTAAATGAGCAGAAAGTAATACAGAAAAGCATAAAAGTGAAAACTTACCAGATGAAATAAAATAAAATATTATCAAATAAAATTTGGTACAAAATAAAATAATAAGGCAATAAACAATCAATAATAATACATGTAATTGATGGTGACAAATATTACATCAATAAAATAAAATTTGGCCACAGTCAAATGTGCCAACATGATCATATATTAAAGAGCTATAGTGGCTGCCAGAAACATTGATAGTTTCACCAGTTTGCACATGACATTGATGAGATTTGGGCATGATATGAAACTTAAGAGTTATAAATGTAAATATTTTAATATTGTATATGTATTTTAAATAAGTCCATTCCACCCATGTAAGTACATTAGTAATTTGTCACTTAATTATATCGTTAAGTGTATTATTGAGAAATGCTTTCCTTTATGCTGTTTCTTTCCCACAATGATTTTGATTGGTTTATTTAAAAAAAAAACCACTGAGTGGCATCCTCTATTGTTTCTTTCAGCCAGTAATATTAAAGTAGAGACACAGAGTGATGAAGAGAATGGGCATGCCTGTGAAATGAATGGGGAAGAATGTGCGGAGGATTTACGAATGCTTGATGCCTCTGGAGACAAAATGAATGGCTCACACAGTGGCAGCAAAGCCATGTCAGGAGTTGGAGGCATTCGACTCCCTAACGGAAAGCTAAAGTGTGATGTCTGTGGGATAATTTGCATCGGTCCCAATGTTCTTATGGTTCACAAGAGAAGCCACACTGGTAAGGTCTAGCAGAGTTTTTTTTTTCTTTAGCTACTAGAGATTTGTATTCGAATTAATCCAGTACTGTGCTGCCCACTCCTATCTTGAAACTCAGAAGGTTACTAGACATTACATTACTTAACACATCCAGACCATACTATACTATACCATGCCAAGAACACCAATATCATACCATAGCTAGTAGTGTCAAAAGCCATGAAATGGCCAAGGAGAATTTTAGGCTAAATTTCTAATTGATTCCTTTTGTAAATCAACACATAGTATCATCAGGCTATGCCTTGTCTTTGAACCAGGCCAGACATAAGATCAAAATAATAGCAGTTACCAAATTGAGAAATTATCTTATTTTCCATTCACTCAATAACCATATTTTAGAAACAAAATAATAATTACCAGAATCAAATATCCAAACTGATTTTCTAATTAAGATTTAAATGTAGTGGGAATAAAGTCCTCTAAAATTAATCCCTCTGAGGTTTGAATAGTAATTTTAATCTTCCAGAAAGATTCTGCTTATCTGGAAAAAGATAGATCCAAGGAGTAAGTGGCAAATCTTAAAAAGACAAGTAGTTTGCTCATGGCATTTGCATCAGTGTATCATTGTCAGCAGACAAATTATCCCCCTCCCATAATTCATATTGTGAATTGTAAGGATTATGTGAATCCCATTGTACTTTCTGCAACAAAAAACGAATGATTAGGTTTCCAATGCCATAAACTACTGTTTATACTACTAGTGTTTGGTTATGGACACATGTTGATAGAGACTTTGATGGGGCTTTGAATTTAAAAGGCAGAAGCCAGACAAAGATCTTAAATATAAAAATATACAGTATTCACTAGATTTCAACTAAACCATGGACACATGAATGGGGACATAACCAGAAATGGCAGTCTTACAGGGCATTTTTTAAATACTATATCCAGTTAAATAGTTTTAACAATGGTACTTCGCTCTTTCCTTCTCTAGGATACTTTTTATTTTTTACCCTTAATATATTTAAGATGCAGCCTTAAAACCTCTTGTATTATTTGCAAATTACAGACAGAAAGAGTTAATTCTGATTTTTTTGGTCATCTTTCCATCATTTCATCTTACCTCTACTTTGCTAGGTGATCTGAATTTTCTTGATTTGACCAGCAATCCTCTGTTTCACCCAAGTTTCATGTTTCTATACAACACTGTTTTCTGATCCACAGGTTAGATAAATATTCTTGTCTCTAGGTTTTCATTTTTGATTCTAGGTTTTAGTCTATGAAATAATTACTTATCTGCTTATTTTCTCCTTTGTGATCTAATTTGTATCAAGAGGGAATGCAACAAGTGGGAAGTGTGTTTTGACTTCATTCTGGTCATGGTTGTGTGTTTGAAAAGGCCACTGAATTAGAGGAGAAATTTTAACTTTTTAGGCAGGGGATTCTGGTAAAGAGGTTTTATGTTGATTCCTGTTACCATGCTTCAATATGCTGGTGAAGCTAAGTAGCTGTGCATGCTCCGGCATGGGGAGATATCTGGGGGTAGCCACAACGTAGCAGATAACCATTCCCTCGTATCAAGCATATCTTTTGAAGATTTTGTACAGATCTTGTCCTAAGAAAGCAAAAATAATTATCTCCAATCCTACTTTTTCAGTAGCAATTGTGAAAATGGCAATTTCATGGTGACATTTCAGCATGTATCAGATAACAGTATGAGGTTTATGGTTTCAAATATTTACTGTAACTCCTGAATATTCCATAAGCTGTATGGGAGCATAAACATAATAAAACATTTACAACTTTCATGGTCCCACTTGTTCTGAAACAACTTTAAAGATTAAATCCATAGCACTGCGTAACCTAAGTTTTTGGGGGGTTCCTTTCAGTCAGTATTGACTCCTGGCAATTATCTGGACTAATTCCTTCAATTTTTTTAGGAAAGATTTTCAGAAGAGATTTACCTTTTCCTTCTCCCCAGAGCTAAGAGAGGGAGTGACTGGCCCAAGGTTACCAAAATGGCTTTGTGCCCAAGGTGAAACGGGAACTCCCTGTTTCTAGCCTTGTGCCTTAACCATTAAACCTAACTGGCATTAGCATTAGCAAGTAACAAATATAATGAATGATTGATATGAATTAAAAGGTGAAACTCCAATCCCCAATATATCTGCCACATGTGGTTATTTCCAATATATCTGCCACATGTGGTTATTTAAAACAATACTTGATATCTTCTTTTTTTAAAAAAAAGTCCTAAATATAGCTGAGATTATCTGATTTTTTTCTCTCTTTTCAAAGAACAAAGGTCTTTCTATAAGTGCCTGACAGGTTAAAATACTGACACTTTCTGCAGTTGATTGAAATCATAGCACATAAGACTTTTTCTAGACTGTAAAAGGCAAGGAGCCTGCTTTTAATTAAAATGGTTCACACAAGCTTTTTTAGGCTAATTGCTGCATAGGTTTGGAAAGATTAAAACAGATACTGTTAGAAGATCATATAATTTGTATGTTTCTTTATTCTAATAGGGAATATCATAACCATAGAATGACTACTACCATATTTGATTTAATACTCTGGGTCTATCAAGGTCATAATAATATCCATAAATACATTGATTTTGAATTCCACAGTTTTCATCATTGATTTCACTGTTATTTTTGACGTAGCAAATGATCAGTAGATGACATCTAAGTTGAAAAAATATTTCAAAAAAGGCAGTAGCAAAATATTTCCATGCTATTCCAAGAAACTGTTCTTAATTTTCCCAAAAAGTCACCAAAAGGTGAGTTAACCTGAAAGTTGACTTCCTTTTAAATAAACAAATAAGAAATTAGATAATTAAATCTACAATATAGTATTTACAACAGAAGACAACGGTTTTCTCTACATCAGAAAACAATCTTTGTAACTGAATTCCTCATTCTTAAAAAGCTTATAACATATTTTAAAATCATTCCACAGTTTAGTCTTTAGTTATGTATTCTTAAAGGAAAATATCTATAGTACAAAATCTTAATTCTGTGTGGATATTGCTTAATTGCAATTTTAGGATTGATTTGCCAACTTCTTTTTTGGATACTGTTGCAACTTTCTAGCACTTTGCTTCAGTCTGTTTCTCCTAGGCGACATGTGTTTTTACTCTTTCACAATGTACATCCTTAGTTAAAGGAAGACACTTTTTTTTCAATATTCTACTTCTATCATATTTGTCTTTTTTCTTTTTCAAAACTACTTTTCAAATAATTTTCACATGAAGCCATATCAAAACAAAATGTGTCAACTGAACAGAGAATTATCTTCCAGTTGGTATATGTCCCTACCACAGAAACTAGGCTTCACAGTGTAGACGGTAATCATTCTTTTCTCAAAGTTTGCTGCTGTTTCCAATTTCCTGATTAGGGAAGCTGATTTTTTTTCCTAGAACTCTACCCGTTCAGTCCTTTCCTTTGCCTTTGGTTTCTGTTAACGTGCAGTATTGCAGGCAAGCCCTGCCTACAGCCTGGAGTTCGATCCTGCTGGGGCTCAAGGTTGATTCCAGCCTTCTATCCTTCCACGGTTGGTAAAATGAGGGCCCAAATTGTTGGGAGCAATATGCAAATAATTTTTTTACATTGTAAACCACCCAGAGAGTACTGTAAAACACTGTGGTGTGGTATATGTCTAAATGTTATTGCTATTCTAACAGACACATGCATGTTTATTAGTGAAGTTCTTCATGGAGTGGAGATAAATAGATCATAAAATCATTGAAACATAGGGCTGGAAAAGACCTTGAAGTTCTTCTAATTGAACTAATTGCCCAAAGCAGAAGGATTGTATCCAGGACAAATGGCAGCCCAATCTTTTCTTGAAAACCTCCAGAGATGGGGTAATCACAATCCCAGGTGGCAAACTATGCCACTGATTCATTGTTCTTACAGTCAGGAAATTTCTTCTTGGTTTTAGATTGAATACTCTTTAATGAGCTTCCACCCATTGCTTCTTGTTCTGCCCTGAGATGCTTTGGAGCAGGGGTCCCCAACCACCGTTCCGCGGACCGGTACCGGTCCGTGGAACAAGTCCTACCGGGCCGCTGGTTTGCTGGGCGCCGCCATCTTTTTTTGATGAAAAAGTGCTTCCGGTGAGCTTTTCCGGGTAGAAAGCTCACTGGAAGCACTTTTTCATCAAAAAAAGATGGCGGCGCCAGCGCTTCCGGTGAGCTTTTCCGGGTAGAAAGCTCACCGGAAGCACTTTTTCATCAAAAAAAGATGGCGGCGCCCAGCTAATGCCGGTACCGGGCCGCGCCATAAAAAAGGTTGGGGATCACTGCTTTGGAGAATAAATCAAACTCCTCTTCTTTGTGATAGCTCCTCAACTATTGGAAGAAGTGATTATATTATTCTTAAGCCTTCTCCTCATTAGGCTAGATATACTTAGTTCCCTTAACTCTTCATCTTACAATTTAGCCAGCACTCCCCTTATCATCTTTGTTGCTCTTCCCTGCACTCTTTCTAGGGTCTCAGCATCCTTTTTGTGATCATCATGGTGACCAGAACGGATGCAGCATTCCATGTGTGGCCTCACTAGTGTGATATAAAGTAGTACTGTCACTTCTTATGATCTTGATGCTATCCCTCCACTGATGCAGTCCAGGACTACATTAGCTTTTTTTGGTAGCAGCCTGCTCACTAATACTTAAGTGATTGTCTACTAGGACACCTAGATGCCTCTTAGTGTTACAACTATTGAGCAAAGTACCACCTATACTATAACTGTCCATTTGGTTTTTTTACTCATGTGTACAGCATATGTTTTATATAGTTGCACATAATTAATTTATTCATACCTGGGAATCCTGATGATATTCACATTATGTTGCAACAGAAATACGGCTGGCATTTTCTGACAAAATGTTCATCCTCAATATACCTTTCCAAACAATATGAAATATCCCAAGTCCTTTTCAAGCATTTTCATAGAATTTTCCATGTTCTTTGCAGTAAGAGGGGCAATGTTACACATTTCCTCATTTATCAGCATCCATATTGAACTGTACAATATTCCAATTAAATGGGAATGTCTCCAGTTTCATTATGTGTAGGGAGAGTAATTTTAAAAGTATTTGCTGCCTTTTGGAGATTAAAATATGTGCAATTCCTGCTAAATCTACATTTAATGTAGATTTGTTTTCAATATATTACTTTGTTAAAAGATGTCACTTCTGTACCAATTCCAGACTCTTTGAACCAATCTTGACTCCTGATGACCACATGAATAACTCTATATAACTTTCTCTGCCACATTTTTCAGAAGTGATTTGCCACTGTTTTCTCTGAAGGGCTGAAAGTGAGTCATTGGCCCTAAGTCACCAGCAAACTTCATGCCTAAAGTCGAAACTAGAAGTCTATCTCATCATTTCTAGAGAAAGACTTTTAGCCACTGAACCAATCTGGTTGTGTTTTTAGATAAAAGAAATGGGTTTTTAAAAAAAGACATCTGGCTCTTTATCCCTTTGTTCCTTTCCAGAGAATTGTAGAAATAAATGGCAAGGAATGGAATCCCAGGCATGATTCTACATCTACATTTTATTGACCCTTTCTTTATTCATAATGATTGTGGATCTGAGAATTGTAGTGAAATGCCATCAATTAGCTTTTAAAAACCTTGAACCACAGACTAAATTCTGAAGACTCCGAATCTGAGGAAAATTGAGGAAAAATAACCCTAATACAAATGTTGTATGGTACATGTTTATTACATTTATAGGCAACCTTTTTCAATTAAATAAAGTATATCTCTTTTGGATCTCACAATCACTTATCAAGTTGATTGAGCCGAAGTATAGTTTGTCGTGGAAGGATATAACATTGCCTTAATGGCCAAGAAATCAGTCAGCATGAATTTTCTAAAAGAAACTTTCTGGTCAATGTATCACACTAGTTTTAAGAAAAAAATTTAGCAAAACTATGGGAGTTTGACTTGTTAAACTTTAACATACTGCTCAATTAGAGTAATTAGATTAGAAGGCAAAAAGAAAAAAATGATGACAAAATTATTATTTTACCAGTTCAATATTTTAAATTCAAATTCCCCTTGATATAAATTTTCCTTTGGGAAAGACCATTTATTGGTTACATCTAACATATTTTGAAATGTATTAGCTTATTAAGAAGAATGTATCTAGAAATATCTAGTAATTTATCCGTTAGGAAAAAATGTTTAAAAAGTAATTAGGAAGGATTATGAAAATAACCCTTCCTTTTGGATCTATTTAGATGCAGATCAATTGCCTCATTGCCTCTTACCTTTATTAGACAGGATCTAAGTGTTTATATCAAAATGGCATATTTCAGCATTTAATGGGGACCTGTAATACTGGGCAGGAGCAATAATTGATAGAGAAGAGAAAGTGGGTTAAAAAGTGGATAAGGCAGGGACACCTACTGTATAATGTGGATAAACTTGTGGAATGAGGGAAAGAGATGTTGCTTGGGAAACAATTGGACAAGAGAGGCAGGATTCCCAATGGCTTAGCAATCAGAGAAAGAAACTTAGGAAGGACCTGCTCTAATGCATCAAGATGTTAAAAGTGGTGGCAGGAAGTTTGTACTTTCAGATTTGTAAGATTGGTGTCAGCCTTCCCAGTAAACCACACAGGAAAAATTATTAGATGAGTTAATTCAAGTTTATTGTGAGGGTATTTTAACAGAAATGTGCAAATCTGAAAGTACAACTTCCTGTCACCAGTTTTAACTGCTTGATCAATTAAGATGAGTCCTTCCTAAGCTTTATGCCACTGGTCTCTCTTGTCTGATTGTTTCCTAGGCAGCAACTCTTCCCCTTGTTCCTCAAGGTCATCCACATATTTTATTACAGCACCTCACTAAATTCCTCTGCTACATACTAGCTGAATTACTATGAGGTTACACAAAGGATATGGAAGAAAGGAAAGGAAGTGTAATTTAATGTACTGTTAATTAGGTTTGGCTAATAAAATGTAGAGAGAACAAATTTAAACTGGTCAAGAGGGAAAATAAAATTTACCTTTGTTGAAGTTACTTTAGTTCTGGCATGTTAGCAAAATAAGGAATGCAGGAGAATTGTAATAGATAAGCAGGGGTGCTTGATTAGCTACAAGACAATGTTTTCTAGCTTCCTTTAGTATCTAACAAGCATCTATCTTGAATTGTAACTAATATGTAAATATTACCAAACTGTAATTAGCATATTAGTCTCTTAAAATGCTCAAGGTTGATTGGCCATGCTAGTAAAATATGGCCTAACCAAAAGAGCCTATTCTCTTCAAAAGATAATTTTAACAATAAAAAAGTCCCATGTATAAATCCTAAAATGTGAATCAGACATTAATTACTCTGGACTGTTTTTTTAAAAGTAAACCCAAAACAATCAAAGCAAAATAAACAAGTCTGCAGTCCATCTCTGATATATCAGCAATGAGAGTTAGGAGTTCTGTGTGGAAGATGCTGTGTCTCTTTTGCTCTGTCTTAACTTCCTTTTTTTAGTCCATCCCACTCCACCCTACCCCACCCTCCCACTCACCCATCTGCCCCCACACTTTTCTGTCTCTTTCCTGATTTGGCTGCTTAGGAACAGTCAGGTAATGGAGAAGAAATTGAAAGGGAAAATACAGGGAAAATGTAAATGAAAAGAAGTTATTATAACTGTTATAATGAAGTGCCTTTCATTTAAATATAAGAATGTAACGCTGAAATGAACTTGTGATCCTGAAATGCATTTTTAATGAGTTTCCTTTTTATTTTGCTGCTTCAGTGGCATATTTTAAAGACCCTTTGAAAAAAGCCACATTAAAAAAACCCACCAAATGCCACAACATGCAAAATTGGATATTGGTTTATTCCAAAACTGCTGATCAGGAAGAGTGGCTCTTCAACACAAAATGTTGCAGTCACTTTATTTAAATGAGTTTGAATTTGCATTGTGATGTGCCATTCTGATTTAGAAAAAAAATTAGATTTTCAGATCAAATTGACCCAGCCAGTGAAGCATTAAGGAACTGGCAGGTTTAGTCTGAAAGGCTCATGTTATATCAAACCTGCAGCTGGTGGAAGTCACAGAGCGCCAGTTGGAAAACAACTTTCTCACTGAAATCATCCTCCTATTACCTTGTAAGAGTTTTGTTCTCACGTATTTTTCCCTCTCATTCTCCCTGTAGGCGAACGCCCCTTCCAGTGTAATCAGTGTGGGGCATCCTTTACTCAAAAGGGCAACCTTCTCCGCCACATAAAGTTACACTCCGGCGAAAAGCCCTTCAAGTGCCACTTGTGTAACTATGCTTGCCGTCGTAGAGATGCTCTTACGGGCCATCTGAGGACCCATTCCGGTAGGTTCCATGATAGAAAATTCTAGAAAGGTTTTGCTTGCTACTTGGCCAAACCAAATTATATCTACAAAATGATTTGAGATTAATGCTAATTTAGTTCAGGTTTCTTCTAACCTCAATTGAAACCAAGGGCCTACTAGACATTTAGTTAGTTGCATTTCAGTTAAATTTTCAGACAACCTTGCACAGAACAGAACAGAATAACAGATTTGGAACAGTGTATTTCCTGTCAGTTTATATGCAGGCCAGCAGTCCTTATACTTTTTCTCCTGATCTTTTGCCTATCTGTGAGATCACAAGAGTTGTCAAGCATATAAACAAACTATATATTTGATTCAGAACTGTTTATTATTTTTAATAAATGCTTGACCATGAGTTAGCACTGAAAAACGTGATGAATCATAAATTAGCAAATTTATTACATATGGTCAACAATTCCATAGAAGAGCCTAACTGAAATATATAGTTATAAGATATAGGTTGTTCCTTATATTCTTATATAGGATATATCCTTATATCCTTACATAGGAACAACTTGCTTCCAAAATTGTGATTGCTCCAACACTAAAGGCTTTTAAGACAAAATTGGACAACCATTAGTCAGATATGCTGTAGAGTCTCCAGCTTGAGTAAGGGGTTGGACTAGAAGACCTCCAAGTTCCCTTCCAACTCTGTTATTCTGTTATTCAGTTGGGGAACATGGGTTTATTTAATAACTAAAAACTTACTCTAGATAAATCTGTTTTATAAAGATAGAATATTGGACAAAATTAGCAGCTAAAATTTCTTCACTATTAGATATAAACATTTAATATTATCTGCATAGAATGCAGGTTTGAGCCTTTGCATTTTAAACAGTTTTCAAGTTGACATTTCATGTTTATAGTTTTTCTTATAGAAAAGATGCAAAATAACTTTTTAAAATGATTTTAAAAACCAGGAAAGTTTTATTCATTATTAAATTTATTTGTATTAAATTCAAACCTTCAAGCCAGAGTTGAGCAAATTCTAATTTGACAATTTTTTCCTCTTATTAGTGGCACTTTTTCCCCAGATAGTTTGAGTCAGTAGGCCTGTTTTCATTACAACATGACCGAATTACTTGCCCCAAAATTGCAGTAAAAATTATCCTTTGCATTCTTCAGGATGGCTGTTGAGTCTGGCTGTTTGTTCATATTTGATTCACATTATCTGGACTATATTATCCCAGATCTCTTTGAGTTTCTACAATAAATTCCATTTCCCCCTGCAGTTGGCAAACCTCATAAATGTGGATATTGTGGTCGGAGTTATAAGCAGCGAAGCTCTTTGGAAGAACATAAGGAGCGCTGCCACAACTATTTACAATCCATGAATCTTTCAGGTGGCCTCTATCCGGGTAAGAATACAAAGCAAAAGGCAAGATTAGCTTCACAATAAGATGCAATTATAAGGCCCAACTCTATGAGTAGTCCAGTGCTCTCTTGGAGCTGCAAGAAAGTTCAAGATGGAAGGGATTGACCGAATTCCTAAAGGCAGAGAGATTGAATGTGAGAAATAACTATTGGCCTCTTGTCTGGTGACTATTTCTCAGTTGAAGTTATTCCCTCCTGTTTTTCTTTGCCTTATCTTTGAATAGCTACTTTTGTGCTGCCCACTTTCTTTCCTTTGCTTACTTTCAAACAGCTACAGCTTTTGGAAAAAAAAATTATAGGTGATTTTACTGTCATAGCAACAAGAAGCTATTTCATCTTTCTGTTTGCAGGTTCAATAGTGTGATCATCTATCTTCCCTGCATTTCTCAATCAGCAATACTCCTTTCCCCCACTAGCTCTAATACTGAATACTTCTCAAGCTCTTTCAATATTAGATGTATGAAGTGAAATGAAGTAGGAATATCTGGGAAACCTCCAAACATGAGATACAATTCTTTTATCTTCCAAGAAAAAAAGTTCTTTAAGATGGAAATTATTTTAAAAACAACATTCTTTCTCCTATTCCTGTTTCAGCACTTGTTAATCAATCATTTCAGAGATTGTATATCATAAGATACAAACACACACACATACACAAATGAATGCAGCCATTCATTTGAAAGGAAGGTGACAATTCATGCTTATTCCATCTTTACTGAATGCACACTAAAATATAGACATGCATTAATGTGCATAGAGAAACAGATGAAGGCCATTGTTTCTTAAAGTTGAGTTAGTTGTGGTTATCTGAGCACTTCAGTTGCATACTAATTGCATATTGGAATGGATTGGATATGAATGATAGACAAATCTTCTTATACACCTTTTTTAAAAAGCACACATTCATTTTGCCAGAAGGCTGTATTTTCTGAAGGCATACTTTGGATTACTGGAAACACCATCAAACACTATGTGGCAAGTAAGGTCCTTTCGGGTACAAATACAAACTGTGTTGAGTCCCTATAACAAGACTATATAAAGCATTTTTGATACACCTATTACTGTGCATGATGAAAAAGAATTAAAATTGCTTTGATCCTGTCAATGTATTTTAACAATTTGCTTGCTCATAGTTACATTTCTTCTAACAAATTATATGACTCATGGCAGACTACAATAAAAATTATCAAATCTAAAACAAACCCAATTAAATAAACAAGCATATAGCAATTCACAAAAGCAGAAGTAACTCAATGACAACAATATAATTCCAACTGCATCAACTACTTCAGTTATCGGCACCATAAAAATGGGTGTTCAGAGTCCTGCAGTTTTCACTTTGTAACAGAATACCAATACCTGTGCTAACTCAGCTTTCAAGTAAGCTGATCCATCATGTGGGAGGCACTAGGGCCTCTTCAGTCTAAAAATAATGATCAGCTTAGTTATGACATATATGATGGATATGATGGTTGTGTCAGGTGGAAGTTCTGAAGATACTTTCTGCAGATTACCATGTCAGAAGGTTATGTTGCTTTAGGCCTCATATGCAGATAGCAATAGCATTTAGACTTATATACTGCTTCACAGTGCTTTACAGCCCCCTCTAAGTGGTTTACAGAATCAGCATATTGCCCCCAACAATGTGGGACCTCATTTTACTGACCTTGGAAGGATGGAAGGCTGAGTCAACCTGGAGCCATTCAGAATCAAATTCTTGGAGTAAGCAGTGAGTTAGCCTGCAGTACTGCATTCTAACCACTGCACCACCATGGCTCTTGGATTATCTATCACATTTTCAGATAATCTAAAGTTAATGTCTGTCAAAGTAATGCTGGAAAGCAGCTGTGATACTTCTGATCGTTAATGTTGTGAGATATTTTCATTTTTGCTAAGTGGGAAACTTTTAAATATAGCAAATTGATTCAAACAAAGGATTACTTTTGTTTCTAGATTAAAGTGAGCATCTATGATACTGTGTGCTAAATTATTTGTTTCAAAAATGATATAAATAAGGAGTGTACTGTGACCAATCAAAATATCCCAAATGTGCAGGTATTTGAACTCACCATATTTATTAATCAGTCTAGATGACACATAAATCAAAGTACCACAACAGAAATAAACCAAACCAAATTGGGCTACATTTTTTCATGCTAATTTGTACATCTAACTCAGTATAGATTATTGGAAACACTTTCTAGAGAGCCAGTAATACAATGATTGCACAAAAAGTTTGAAAATAATTTGGAATCAGTTGACATAAGTCCCACAAAAAGCTCAGTGGAATGAACAGTGATTCAAGACAATGCTTTAATAGATAGCCAGTGATTTACAACCAAGTAGAAAATAGAAAAGGTTTAGGTGTTGAGATGATGCAAAACCATTTTTTGCACAAGAACAGTGGATTTCAACACAGAATAGGAAATATGGGTGGTAGAGTATGAGTAGTATGTGAATCCCATCAGGTAACCATAGTAAGAATACTGGATTGTCTAAACTCCTTTAGGAGATACTAGTAAGTATCTCCTTTGCAAATATACATAACAAATGGTTTGTACTAAAGAAACAAAAAAATGAACTTCAGAATCGGTTTCTCTTCTGGAATAGCACTATGGACAGAGCTTTTTGAACTGCTTTACAATGAAACAGCAACTTGAAGGATCAGAAACTGTTATGGGAGAGGGACAGAATTCCCTCCCACACTGAAAACGGGAAGTAGAAAATTATTAAAGATCATTGCTTCATTTAATTAATATTGAGTCTTTCGATTGATCTTCACTTCAGACTCAAACCTGGAGTTTCACAAGCCACCTCTAGCATACTCTACCGAAAAGACAAGGAATCTGTAGAATAACATCTCTAGAATTATTCTACAACTTCTTTATTTCTTAAGAAGATAGCTAGAGAAAAATAAATCTTTCTCATAGCAAAATGAGATGGTCTTCCTTAATGAGGCTCTGCAGTAGAATTCAATGAAATATTTTTCTGATTCTCCAGGAAATATGCACAATAAGGCCTCCTGGTTAAAGAGAAAACATCCTATTTCACTTGATTATTAGGTAGGACTTGTTACTCCCTGCTGGAGCCTAAGAGAGAAGAATCAGGGAGTTATCACAGGGCATTTCCTCCCTCTACACTTTTGCTCTATGCCTATCTTTTATATGTTGTTTTTTTTAAAATAGCAACTGTGCACTCACAAAGTCACTGGTTACCAGTGTCACAAAATATGCTGCACTTTTGTTACTGTTGATTTGTTTTTCACAGAAGGGCTTTGTTTTTAAAAAAATAGTTGGGACAAAGAAATGGATGAAACCAGAAGGAAAAAGTAAATCTAAGCTGAACTGAATCTTAATTCAAATTAAAGTACAAATTTTTCATATAATTATATCCATATATTTAATGCATTTCATATTCCCTTGCATTAAAAATGACAATGAGTACTTGGATTTTGCATCTCTGTAGAGGATTTAGTTATCATATACTCCAAACTACCTTTCTTTTTGTTGCTTCTCAGCTTTACAGCCTGACTGCCAGCAGAGTTTCAGAAAAAAATTGGAAATAAGTGTGTCTTAAAACATCTGGTGTCCTTTAACACTTTTTTTTCAGTCATGAAAGAGGAAACCAGCCAAAGTGAAATGGCTGAAGACCTGTGTAAGATGGGATCAGAGCGCTCCCTTATGCTGGACAGACTAGCAAGTAACGTCGCCAAACGTAAGAGTTCTCTGCCTCAGAAATTTGTTGGTAAGAACTAAATGCTGCTCCCTCTTTTTTTCTGGTAGTATTTTTAATTTTAATTTTATTGCCGTATAACAATAGAAAGAGCAAAACAATTAATCAAAAATGTGGATTCCAAACTGCTCTTAGTAGTGGTGAAGTAAAATATATGCAAAGATTTTGGATCAGCACTGACATGATTGAAAGTGTCCAGAAAGTGTTTTGCACTTGCCACTGATTTGGGCTGTGAGGGAAGAAGACAGCATGAACACAGAAATAACTTGTTTATTTATTTATTTATAAAATTTATATGCCACCCATCTTATATCCAATGACTCTGAGTGGCTTACAACATAAAAACATTAGAAACATTAATAATATCCAATATAAAACAGCAGGAAAAAAAGATTAACAATCTTAGAGACAAAGAAGGGTGCTGGTCACATGGGAGGGAGGTGCCATTGAACTTTATTAACAAATCACCTCAGAAGTGGTATTCAGCAGGTTCTGACCAGTTCTGGAGAACTGGTAGTGGAAATTTTGAATAGTTCGGAGAACCGGCAAATACTACCTCTGACTGGAGATTTTACATATCCTTCCCCTGCCACGCCCACCAAGCCACACCCACAGAACCGGTAGTAAAAAAAAAATGAATCCCACCAGTGAACCACCTCCAGCATGAAGCTTTGCACATAGGGAAAGATATGTAAGATGGGAAAATATTATCTGTACTTGGGGAAATCTCTGGAATGCCAAAACTCTGCATATCATCCTCCTTAGCAATCTGACATGGAATCAATTATTTACCAAGAATGAATCTATGTCTATTCAAATCCCACCATTCCTGCCTTGGCAACTGGTACTGATTGAAGTTAATTCACCACCTTGAAGAGTCATGGATTCACCATTCCTAAAATTGTACTTCTGAGAACTTTGTAGTATTCTGTCTCTCTGGAAAACTAGAGTAATTGAATGAGAAGTAAGGTCTTGGGAAAAATCATTTTTTTTCTGATTTCCCCTATGTCTTCTATAATCTCCCCATTTTTAATGAAAGTCCAGTAAAGTAACTCTACTGGTCCAGTGCTTATTCTGATTAATTCAACATTATCTAATTTCAACTAAAAAGAGAAAATTAATTAATAGCAACACATGAGGTATTGAGAAAATCCAGCTTTTGCAACCAAATCTACTGACTATATCTAAAGTTTACCGACATAAATGTCTTAATTTTTATAATGTTGCTTAGAAATAGAATGAATAATACCTATGTTACAGTGTGTTTAGTACACAGAAGATATTTGTGTATGTGCAAAATTTTTACTAACATTTGAAAACTATTCACCCAGTTCACTCTACCTAGCTTCTTATCAGTGCTTCTGAAACAACATTAAAAACTACACAAAATTCGTATGTCCCATCAGTATAATGTTGAGCACTTCAGTAGTAATTCAGACATACAACAAAAATGATTTCATAAAACTCTTAGTCTTGCAGAGCACAATTCCATGCTACAGGAATAATAGCATTACTAATTTCTGAAGAGAATGATATTGCCAAAAGCATAGGCCTGGCATTCAGGAGATGTGATACTTGTGTTTCCTATTTCTGCCTAGAAACTTTTGTAATATCAGATGATATTACATTGTAGATAAAAATTGCTCACAGACTTTCTTAGGTTCAGAAACATTATCTAAATAAAGTGCCATGAATTTTTCCAGAACACAAAATCTATGAATATGGAATAATCAGGGATTTTCAATAACTTTGAGAAGAACACTTTTGGTTATGGATTAGTCCTGGCATGGGACTAGGAGAAGATGCAATTTTCATGCTCTCACTTCCTTTTTGTCATAATGAGAAATCTTGCCAGTTATGAAGACTTAAAAGAGTAGTGTTTCCTGTCAGTTATTTACAGTGTGGCGTAAGAAGATAACTATAATAACAGCAAAAATTTAAGTAAGACCTAGATGTAGGCCATAAAACATGAAGGCTTATCAAAATGAAATCAATTTTATTAGCCACAATTCTGCTTTGGCCACAAGAAAGAATCTCTTTTTCCCATTGGGTGGTGATTCTGACAGCTCAAATATATGGTGCAGCATGTGAAGGCCCACAGTCCAGAGAATCAGATTTTGTCTCCTAACAAAAGGAGTTAAAAAATACAAAGGCACCTACATTATTCAGCAGGGAGGGGGGGGAGGAAGAAAGGAAGGAAAGAAGGAAGGAAGGCTTCAAATGATGACTTATATTAATCAAACAAAATAATAGTCACAAGCATGTAAGAAAATTGACAAGTTCAACTGAATTCAGTTCAACTGAATTCTGAGATTCTGCTAAAATGTATTAGAAATATTTCATTTTAGAATATTTGCCTTTATGCACACCTTCTTAATTTACTATCATTGTGTGTATATTTTTCATATTTTCCCGATGTCATTATCAGCTCTAATTGATCAGGCCTGATGTTTTGAAAATTTTTTCAAAACCAAGAATAACTCTGATATACTTTGGATTACAGGTGAGAAGTGCATATCTGATATTCCCTATGATGCAACCACCAATTATGAAAAGGAGAATGATATGATGCAAACCCATGTCATTGACCAAGCTATTAATAATGCCATCAATTATCTAGGGGCAGAATCTTTGCGCCCTTTGGTGCAGACACCCCCTGGTGGCTCAGAAGGAGTGTCTGTCATCAGTCCAATGTATCAGCTTCACAAACCCCTTGGAGACAACCATGCTCGAGCCAATCATGCAGCTCAGGACAGTGCAGTGGAAAACTTACTGCTACTTTCTAAAACCAAGTCCATCTCTTCAGAAAGGGACCCTTCACCCAGCAACAGCGGCCAAGACTCCACTGATACTGAGAGCAATAATGAAGAACGTAGTGGTTTAATATACCTAACCAACCACATAGTGCCTCATGCACGGAATGGCCTCTCCATAAAAGAAGAGCACAGGCAGTATGATGTCCTAAGAGGAAGTAATGACAGCTCCCAAGATGCTTTCAAAGTAATCAATGGCAATGGGGAGCAGGTAAAAGTCTACAAATGTGAACACTGTAGAATTCTTTTTCTAGATCATGTAATGTATACCATCCACATGGGTTGTCATGGGTTCCGTGATCCTTTTGAGTGTAATATGTGTGGCTATCACAGCCAGGATAGGTATGAGTTTTCTTCCCACATAACTCGAGGGGAACACCGTTTCCACATGAATTAAAACTTTTGCTGTACTTAGTATTTGGATCTAAATGAAGAGCAGCCATAAATAAAAAGAAAAAATACAATGACCAAAATAGTATTCAATAAAAATACATATCAGAAATCTGGGCTGCCAGAAATGAGGTTGTCTTGTAGCATGCATACATAAGGCAATTTTATATTGATAATAGTGGTTTTTTGTAAATGTAGGTAACCAAAAATGTTAGTGTAGTAAACAGAAACTTTTCGTTAAGTGAAAGAACTTTTTTCTTGCTAGCAAGTGCACTCCCAGCCCCAGTCCCTATTGAAAGCTGTTAATTGTGCACACTCATCTCTGAATTTGACTGAAATGTAGAAAGGTATAATTAGCACGTTTTTATGCAGATGTTTTGAAAATACACTTTTAACACATAAAATTTTTGTAATAATTTGATGTGTTCCTTATATCAACAATCTAGACTTAGAACAGGTTAAAACCACTCATTTTTTTCCTACTCTTTGTCTCAGCGGAAACAATTTTTTTCTAACTGATAAGATGTGAATGCTCTGATCCCATGATTTAGTTAATGGAAGCAGAGTATGGCCAGAAGAATTTAAAGTTGTATTGCTCTGAAAAAAGAGCAGCAATGCTGTTATGTTAATTGTAGATATCATTTTCATGAGTTATTCAAAGAAAAATCTACTTGCACCAATTAATTTGTGAAAGAATGAAGTGCTTTGCCCAAATCCAGATCCTTTAAGTAAAAATATCTTCAAGGACCAATGATTCAGTTTTAGTAGAACTACAAACTAATCTTAAACAGATTCAGTGTAAATCAATTCCAAAGTCTGACTGGTGAAATATTTTTAAAAAGCCTATTGTATAGTTTGAAACAATTACATATATGTTATATTTTGATCTGTTCTTGCCTTATAGCACTGCAGTATTCTGTTTCTCATGCAGCTGAGTTTATAAAACATGCTGGGGAAGGAATATTGAGAAGGGACATAGTGATGCTGTTCAACAATGTTTTTTTCTTTCTTAAAAGCACATGATCATCACCTGTGCAACTTTTAGGCATAGAAGAAGGGAGGATATTTTATTAGGGCTATTGTGTGAAATTTCATGTTCACTGTTGAATATTGATGCTGGTAGCTTTCAATCTTATTAGTTGCAGATCAATATTGATAAATAACATATGACAAACTATACATATTCAGCGTAGCCTGGTTTCATTTAATTCAGTTGCATAAGGCTGTTCATACATATCCAAACATTTTATGTAAAACATGCCCAATTAGGATAACACCATTTTTATAGACGATTTGGCAGATTATTGATAAGTAGTTCATCTTATTGCTGATTATAAAACTGATGATAAAGTCTCCACCAATACACTGTGGTTTTAAGGCTGCATCTATTAGAAAATAGGGAAAGCTACAATGTTGAGTTATTTGAAGGAGATGTTTTGAAAAATTCAGCACAGGGGTATCTTTGTACTCATCCTTAATTGGTTCCAGGAGGTGCGACAAGCATTAAAAAGATGAGGATCAAATTATGTGACTTATCATGACTCTTTTGGCTGGGAAGGACTTCTTAACTGTTCCTTTTTCCCATGTCAGTGTCCTTCCCAGCATGGCTGACTTCCTGTCTGCCCTCTGTAGCTGTCTCCCACTTCCTTTTACAGCATTTTTCCCAGCATGGCTGACTTTATGTTTGCTTGCTGCTACTATACCCCACTTCCTTTTGTGGTGTGTTGAGCACCAGGCAATGGTGAGTACCAGAACAACATTTTCCCATCAAACTGCGTCGAGTACCAAATTCGATGAGTTTTGAAGCAATCCAATACCGAAGCACCACGTTAAAGTTAAATCCTACCAAGTTAAATCCTATCTGCAAACCCATGTTTTGTTCACTTAAAGTGCATTTTTGTTTTTGCAAGTTTTGTCTCTGTTCTTCAGCTTGAAGAATTTTGTGTGCATCAGTTTGGTAACAGTGAAAGATTGTTCATAGATTATATAACTCAAGTTTATCGTGGGTATATGTTGAATACGGAGTCACAACCATTTCAGATTCACTTTGATGCACTTTTTATCAAACATTTTATCAAACATTTGTCATACTCTGCACATTTTTAGTAAACATTTTAAAGTAATGAACTATACAGCTAAAATTATTGCCCTTCTAATTGGCCTCCTCTATATCTTTAGTTTTTAATTTCAAATTAAATTTGTAATTTCTAAGAGTGGTTTTTCACTGCCTTTATTCTCATTCATCATTTTTCATAAGCACAAATTTCCCACTACATTGCAGACATTGATTTTTCCCAAATGCATATAGACTGATCTATGTTTACATTCCTTGGAATTTGAGGCTTGGCTCCATTTACTGATCAAAAAAGTCAACTCATAAGTAAACATCAGTGTGATCGGGGTGGGATTCAAAAATCCCAGCAAAATCCCAGAGGCCCAGTTGCTGGGTGGGCGTGGCAATGGTGGGCATGGCCTACCAGAACTTTCTGTTTCCAACTTCCGGTGTGCCTCCAGAGCCCAGGAGAGGCCGTTTTTGCCCTCCCAAGGGTCAGGAGGCTTCCCCTGGGCCTCTGAGAGGACGAAAACAGTCTCCCCCAGCTCTGGAGACCCACCAGAAGCCGGAAACAGGCCCATTTCGCAACTTCTGGTTTTTTTCTAGGAAGGCCATTTTTTTGCCTTCTTAAGGGTCCAGAGGCATCCCCTGGGCCTCTGGGAGGGTGAAAACAGCCTCCCCCTGGCTCTGGAGGCCCTCTGGAAGCTGGAAACAGGACCGTTTCTGGACTTCCAGAAGGCCCATTTTCCCCCATCCCAAGAGCCTCCATGCAGACCCTGCACTTACCTCCATCAAAAATGGGCTGCGTGGAGACTCCTGGGAGGGGAGGGGTGGGCAGGGCGGGGCCAGCCAGTCAGTTGAAATACTGGTTCAATGAACCAGATGTAACTTTAACATCCAGTTCACCCAAACCAGTACGAACGGGTAGAATCCCACCCCTAAGTGTGATGATGATACTCTGAACTAGGTAATCCTAAACAATCTTCTATAGTTTTAAAGTCCACAAGACATAAGTTTAAAATTAATATATGATATCTTTGTATGGGCATCAACTATTGTATGATCAGAGTTTATGGTGTTTCTTGTTCTATTTTTTTTCCTTTAATATTGAAAGCAAAAATATACTTTAGGGAAGGATAATATTAGTGATCTACACTGAATTGACAAGTCCCATCGTTGGAATTGTCATGTTTGCCACACCACTGTTCAAAATAAGTCTTGTTTTGTTTGAAAATAAATGACCAGGATTTTATTTTTATGTATAGTTTGATAAATTGATACTAATTTAAAATTTCTTTTGATAGAATGCCTCACTTCTATAAATAGCAACTGATGAATGCTTTTGAGAGCTTACACTTCAGCTTTATTCTGGCACTGCCTTGTATTGCACACATTTTTGCTGTGGTTTTATACTGTACTTCTAATAACTTTCTTTGACCAATGTATTTAAAACACAATGAAGTGACTTTCATAAAAACTGTAACCTTTTGTCTGAAGGCAAAGATGAATCATTTTATGATAAAGAATATTTGGAACATTTCTTCTAGGGAATAGAAAGTATAGCATGATGAACAGTCATCAGATTCTGGCTAAGTATGTATACATGTAACTGTGTTGTGGGAGGAAAGAAAGGGGGAATTACAAAAAGAAAGAAAGAAAAGGTAAGAATTTGTAAAGCAAATACTACCAAAGGGTCTCTTAATGCCAGGGAAAAATTGCAGTTTCTATAAGTAGTTAAAAGAATTAAACTCTTATTTTTGGCATATTTGTAAAAGTATAATGGGCAACGCCACAAGGTGCTCATTGAATGAGGAGTCTCACAGAATAACCATCAACAAAAAGTAGTAAAAGGACTAATGGAGCTTTTTGTAATTAAAACACTGTTGTTAAAATTATAGTGTGGAACTACAGTTTAACTGTTGAACTATTTTGTCCAAAAATCAAAGTTACTCCTGTTCAGCACAGATCACACAGTATTCATTATGAGCCGTGGTGGTGCAGTGGTTAGAGTGCAGTACTGCAGGCTACTTCTGCTGCAGCCAGCTGCCTGCAATTTGGCAGTTCAAATCTTACCAGGCTCAAAGTTGACTCAGCCTTCAATCCTTCCAAGGTGGGTAAAATGAGGACCCAGATTGTTGAGGGCAATATGCCGACTCAGTAAACTGCTTACTGTAAAGCACTGTAAAGCAGTATATAAGTCTAAATACTATTGCTATTGCTATTCATCCTTACCCTTTTACTGCTTTTTGTTGCAATAAAATTCATTATCATCTCTTTTTTATTTTATTTTATTAAGAGCAGTTTCCTCTTAATTTAAGAAGAAAGAGGCAACTAACACACACACACACACACACACACACTCATACCTTGCAAGAAAACTTTAATTGACATTTAGACTAATTTAAAGATAAATTAGTGAACTACTCATCCGTTTTTTGTTTCGTTTTCATGAAGCAATGTAAGGGATTACATTCACATAGGAAGCTAGTAATTAAAAATATAGTGGAAATCAGAAGCCACTATTGCCTTTTGGTAAAACAGTAGGAGACAAGAAGCCTAATAATCAAAGAATACATTTAAAGGAAAAAAGTGTACTAAATAAAATGATTGCAGTAGTATCTAAGCAATATACTAGAGAAAAAGGCAACAATTATAAACAACTTGTTTACATAAAGCATGAGGAACTTGGGATTTCAAATGCTACTGAATTAATATTTCCTGCCGGTCTTAGCCAATGATGAAAGACACTGAAACTAAAGGCCTCTAAAAAATGTCATATCCATCTCCACACTTCTTGCTTATGATCAATTTTGAATATTCACATTTGATGTTGGAGCTTTGGTTCAGGTTAAGGTTTTAATTGATTTCTCATGCAGCTTTTGCATATAATATCTGATGATAAGAATGCCTGTACTGATAGTCATGACTTAAATCATGACTAAATATGTCATGGAACTGTACTAACATGTACTAACATCAACATTCAAATATTTTTACTACCGGTTCTGTGGGCGTGGCTTGGTGGGTGTGGCTTGGTGGGCATGGCAGAGGAAGAATATTGAAAAAGCCCCATTCCCTCCTCACTCCAGGGGGAAGATTACTGCAAAATCCTCCCTCCCCACCCCAATAACCTGCTTTCTAGCTCTGTTCTCCTGGGCAGGGCAACAAAAGAAGACCCAGCTGATCAGCTGGGACTCGAGGGGCAGAGAAGAGATGGGAGTGGGGCCAGTCAGAGGTGGTATTCCAAACTACTCAAAATTTCCACTACCGGTTCTCTGGACTACTCAAAACTTCCGCTACCGGTTCTCCAGAACCTGCTGAATACCACCTCTGACTAACATATCCTCAGCCAACACATATAATGGCTCTATTACTTTTTTTTCAGATCTAAGCAAGAAGAGGGTCAAGTATCTAACATTTAGGCCTGTTGCTATTCTTGGATCACTATCAGTTTAGGCATAGGTTTTCAGTTATTTTCTGCTTTATCAGTATAGGAAGAAATTAAAATAGATTCCATGGAGCAAAGGAATCTAACAATTTATATCATGCCTGCACAAATTATTGCTTTTCTCACTATTTATGCCAACATTTCTCACTATTTATGCCACCTTACTCTGGCAGAAGTGTCTTACCCATTCATACCCAAATGGAGCCCTTAGAATAATCATACAGATTTTCAGTTGTGATACAGATGGATCAACTTGGGGAAATTAGGTAGGTAGGTTTTATATCTAACAGCTATTTTATAGCTAAAGACAACTGATTTTCAGATCAGTAAAGGCTTGACATTTCTCCCATTTTCTCACTAGATTACTAGAATGCATTATAGTTATATTTCCTTTAAAAACATCTCAAAAACTTCATTTAACCTTCAAATAGTAATGGGTATTAGACAAAAAAAAGCATGGAACATCAATCCTTTGCCAGTTAATTGCCAGTCGCTATTAAGCCCAACATTAGAATCCTGGTGCTTATTTCTGAAATTCTGAAGTTGAGATCAAAGTGTTTTATAGCATATTGTATTCCATATACATCTGCCCAGGATTGTAGTTATGTTCCAGTATGAATACTTCCAAGACTCAGCTTGAAGCAGTACAGTTCCAACATACTTCACTTGTGATTTTTTTCACCTTAATTTAGGAGCATTCAAGAACAAAATTGATTCAGTTTGATTGTATTACTTTGCAATTTGGCACAATCCTGCCTCTATCTTATTTTTGCTTATCTGATCAGAGAAATGATGTCTTTTTCTCTTCCCGCACTCTACAGAGCTGTAAATCTCTATGTTTCAACTGCTCATCTTTGTGTAAAGCTCTTCCAAAACTCTGCTCTTCAAAAAGCTGTTATTATGGTTATGTGAAACTTTAGAAATTCCAAATGCACAATTTTAGCAAGATGCATTGTATTTAAAACCGATAAACAATAATAGAAGCAACAATTCATATCACATGGCAGAGCTTGCTGAAATATTATTCCCTGAGCCCCCTGCCAAAATTATCAGATTTCTGGAAATTATCAGTTTTTAGTTAGACATAAAATTTCTCATTATCCACATTATTTAATATCTAAATTATTGACTTTTAACATTCCTAAATATTGTTCATGCCTGCTCCTTTCAAATCTTTACTTAGCTATGTTCACTTAAAAGTCCAATTAAAACCTAATGGCTAGGTGCAACAGCACAACATACTGAACACATTGCTAGTTTCTTGTGTGAACACAGCCTTTGTTCTTCAATATAACTTTACAAATAAAGATTGTTTGTTCATTTATTCTTCACTGCCATTCAATTCTAGGCATGTTATGAGAACACATCATTTGACCTTCAGTGCCAATAATTATGCAAATAAAGATTGCTTGTTTATTTTTCACTGCCCTTCATTCTAGGCAAATTCTGGGCATTTCACTGTATAAAATAAAACTACTACAGTAAAATGAATATAAATACAATAAGAGAAATAAACAAAAGGGCAGATCTAGATACTTATTTCAGAATATATGTGACAAGAAGCCTAACAAGGGGGTTCCATCCAACCTACTTTAAGACCTGGGTGGGGAGACATGTTTTTAAGACCTCCCAGAATGCCCTGGAGGATAGGAGACATACAGCACATAATGGCTTAATTCAAAAACCAAACTATGCATATTATGTGAGCATTTTTCAACATGGAGGACTGTCCCTTCAGGATTAATTTATTATCTATAACTAGAGCCAAACTGAGTAAAACTTATCTAAACTTATCTAAAACTTATCGATGTATATCAGGTAAGGTCATATATTTTGTATATCCTAAGAATTTTACCAAACTCTTATAAACATACAAATGAAACTGA